AACAGTAAATAGGAAGAAAAAACCCAAAATAACCTCTAAAAGTCCATCAGTAAACAATAACCAAATCAAAGCCAACACTGCCACAAAATTCTGGAAAAATTCCCCACAGACATCTGCTTCAGGAAAAGCTAAAAATAAAATTCTACAAAACAAACCTGAAAAACAAAAAATTTCCACTGCTCAAACGGCTAACTCGACCTCTAATTCGAGTGAAGAAACCTCCTCAGACACTGACACTGACTTAACCATCGCCAGTGCTCCTGAGGCATCAAATATTCAGAAAAACAGGGCAAGATCCAAATCTGAGAAGTCACAAAAGCTTAAACAAGCAAAACGTGGGCTTTCTCAGAAGGATCTCCCTGCAAAGTTGAAAAAATCTGCTCATCACAATTCCGTCGCTCTGGGACTTGCGGATAAGGGTATAGCGCACAAAGACTTGCTGTCCATTTTTGGCGGTGTGCCCCAAGTCCCCGATCTCAAACTTCATCCATCCGATGAGGATGAAGATTTGCAGATGAACTGTGATGCGTCGGGAACTCCACCTTGTGTTCCTACTTCGAATCCTCCAACACTCTCTTAATGGGTACTTTCCTTTCATGGAACTGTCGCGGCATTCGGTCCAAATTGCAGGACCTCAAAGGTTTTATTAACTTTTTTAATCCTGTTTGCATTGGACTTCAAGAATCCTTCTTGTCGTCCAATAACCCTCTCAAACTACGTGGCTATAACAGTGTTAGGAAGGATGCTGCCACTGGAAGTAATCACTCTGGCGGTGTATGCATCCTTACCTCTAACCTGTATCCCAGCACACCTCTTACTTTACACACTTCTTTGGAGGCTGTGGCTGTGCAAGTTCATGCCCGATCTTTAGTTACAGTCTGCTGTGTTTATTTGCCACCTCACAATGTAGTTAGTCAACAGGACCTCGATACCTTAGTGGACCAGCTTCCTACACCATTTATTTTGTTAGGCGATTTCAACGGACATAGCACTTTGTGGGGTTCGGATGTTACAAACTCTCGTGGGCGACAGATAGAACAGTTAATTTCTAATCACTGTCTCTGTCTGCTAAATGATGATGAGAAAACGTACTTCCACGAACCCACCCGCTCTTTCCATAGTCTCGATCTGGCCATTTGTTCTCCTACTCTTCTGCCGTTGCTGAATTTCACAGTCGGGAGTGATCTCTGTAACAGTGATCACTTTCCCATAATAGTCTCCTATGCTGATAGTGGTAGTGCGATTCAATATCCTCCACGATATCTATTCCAGCGGGCAGACTGGGGTAATTTCATGCAACTGGCAGATATCACTGAGTCTATGGTCAGTACTGCAGACATTACGGAAGCAGTACAAAATGTCATTGATTGTTTGATAAATGCCGCAAACAATACCATTCCTAAAAGTTCCCCACGGCTAAGGAAATTCCGTAGACCGTGGTGGAATGAAGCTTGTCGCGACAGTCGCAAGGAGGAAAAGAAACTGTGGAACATTTTTAGAAGATATCCGACGACAGAAAATCATGTCGCCTTTAAGCGTGCCAAAGCTCTTGCTCGTCGCATACGCCGTCGTAGTCAGAGGGAATCTTGGATAAATTTTGTTTCATCTATCACATCCTCTACTTCTAGTAAACAATTGTGGAAAAAGGTCAAGGCTGCTAATGGAATATATTGTGAATCTTCCTTTCCTGTTTTAAAAACAGGAAATATGACGCATTCCGCTCCATTAGACATAGCCAATACTCTCGGGCGCGCATTTGCACAAGTCTCCGCAACGGATTCTTATAGCCCTGATTTTGTGGCGATTAAGAATCGCGCGGAGCGAACGCATTTGCATTTTACTGCCCACAGTACCCTTCCATACAATTCTGAGTTCCGGATGTTTGAGTTAGAAACCGCCTTGTCTCGGGCACATGATACCAGTCCCGGTCCAGATGGGATCACATATAATATGCTTCGCCATTTGAATACCACTTCCCTTTCCCATCTGTTATTTTTATTTAACAGGATTTGGACTGAGCAGAAGTACCCTTCGCAATGGCATGAAGCTATTGTGATTCCAATCTTAAAACCTGGCAAAGATTCATCCAATCCTCTGAACTACAGGCCAATTGCTCTCACGAGCTGTCTATGTAAGACACTTGAACGCATGGTCAATGCTCGCCTTGTCTTTGAATTAGAGAAACAAGGATGCATCTCCCCGTTGCAGAGTGGTTTCCGCAGAGGTCGGTCCACCTTTGATAACCTCGTTCTGCTGGAAACCCAAATACGCAACGCGTTTGTTAGGAGAAACCACCTTGTCTCTATATTCTTTGATATAGAGAAAGCGTACGACCGTACTTGGCGGTATGGCATACTTTTAACACTTTTTAACTTTGGTTTTAGGGGAAACTTGCCCATCTTTTTAAAAAACTTTTTATCTCATCGTACTTTTCGAGTGCGTATGGGAAACTTTTATTCTGATCATTTTATTCAAGCTGAGGGTGTTCCTCAAGGAAGCGTTCTCAGTGTAACCCTTTTTATCATTCATCTTAGTCAGATTCTCAATCATTTGCCATCTTCTGTTCATGGAAGTCTCTATGTTGATGACCTTCAAATATCTTGCCAAGGTAGCAACATGCATTTAATTGAGCGGCAACTGCAAAATGCAGTTAACAAGCTGGTAGCTTGGTGTGACAATAATGGACACGCCATCTCTCCCGAGAAAAGTCGGTGCGTCCATTTTTGCAGGAAACGAAACCTTCACCTAGATCCTGTAATTTATATACGAAATTTTGCCATTCCTGTTGTTAACGATATACGGTTTTTGGGAGTCATTTTCGATCGGAAACTCACCTTCCTTCCGCATGTTTTACATTTGCGGAAGAAGTGTGAAAGATCTTTGAATATTCTGAAGGTTCTCTCCAAAACATCTTGGGGTGCCGATCGAACCTCCCTACTCCGTATTTACCAAGCAGTGATTCTCTCCCGTATCGATTACGGATGTATGGTGTATGGCTCCGCTCGTCCTACTGTTTTGAGGCGACTGGATACAATCCATCACTCTGCCTTACGGATCTGCACCGGAGCCTTTCGTACTTCCCCAGTGGAGAGCCTGTATAATATTTCCCACCAACTACCGCTTGATTCAAGGCGACAAAAAATTTCCGCTTTGTATTCCTTCCGAGCGCAGTCTGTTCGGAATCACCCCATAAATCGCTTATCACTCCCAGTTGGTCTTCGCAGACTCTATGCTGCTCGTCCTTCTCACATTTTGCCCCTTTGTGAGAGAACCAAAATGCTTTTGCATGACTCGGACCTTAGTAATGTTTCCGTTCAGTTATCTGATTTCTTTACTTTTCCACCCTGGGATAGTCCACAATTTTCCTTTTTGAATCCTTTTTCAGGATTTGATAAATCCTCAACTGCTCCGATTCTTTTCCAACAACTTTTTCACCACCATCGCTGTCAGTATTCCTCTTTCGTACCCATTTTTACAGACGGCTCGAAATCAGATGGACATGTTGGCTGTGGTGTGGTATTTCCATCTGATACACTGAGCTATCGTCTGCATAATTGTTGTTCTGTTTTTACTGCTGAGTTAGTGGCAATTTTCTCTGCTCTCCAGGAAATTTTGCCTTCTAGCCAGCGTAACTTTATTCTTTATACTGATAGCATGAGTGCTTTGGAAACTCTATCTCATTATGACAACATATGTTTGGCGCAGCATAATCAAATATGGTTTTTGCGCCAGTAAACTCCACCAAACCAAACCAAACCAAACCTCATTATGACAACCGAATACATCCGGTTGCTTTGGAAATATTATCGGTTTTGCAGTTTCTTCGAAAGAAAGGTTTTAATATTATTTTCTGTTGGGTTCCGAGTCATGTGGGCATTTCTGGTAATGAAACAGCGGATGTTATTGCAAGATTTGCCTCTGATTTTCTTCCAAGAGCACTTCCTTCCTGCGATATTAAAAAGTTTTTAGTTTCTCATCTCCTTTCTGTTTGGCAGCAGAAATGGAATCTTTTAACTCGTAACAAACTTTATTCCGTCAAACCATCAATTGGTTTGTGGCCTGCCCTTCTTCTGCGAGATTTCGATGTCAAATTGACTCGCCTCCGTATAGGGCATACTCGCTTTACACACAGACATCTCTTCTTGGGCCAGAGGGCACCAAGGTGTCCTACTTGTCACACTGATTTTACTGTTAATCATATTTTAGTTGAATGTCCTTCTTTTAAATGTCATCGTGAGTATCATTTTAATTCATCATCTGTAACCTTGCAAGACTTGGTGGGTGAGACATACCATCCAAATATTTTTAATTTTTTAAAGACCATTGGGTTTTTTATGAGCATTTAGTCCTTTTAATTTGTTTGCTTTCTTTCAAACAATTTCATTTTCACATTTTCACTGAATTTTAAATTTTTGGTACCACTGTGTTGATTTTTAACATTTGATTGGCGCAGTTTAGCCAAAAATGGCTCTTGCGCCATTAAACCCCAAACAACCAACCAACCAACCAATTCTCTTTTCAGGTAATTAGCTACCGCATTATGTCTTAATAAATATTCTTTTCCCATGAGTCCTTGGGCATGCTTGACAGTCTCCTTCAGGGGGAACCAGCTCTGCAATATTGCCTTGGGAAATTAAAATCGCCTCTTGCATAGCCATAACGGGCAACTCTTCCTGAGACCATCTTGTCTTTGGTTTTGGAACTTGAATTTCGTCTTGGTATTCTGCACGGTGCTGAGACTGCTCATGAACACCGAGACCAATCTTAGTCCGGAACCACATCGAACAATACTTGCACTCAAATCCCGCTGTTGCCATGTCGATTCGCAACTCGTCAACCAAGCTGAAGAGGCAGTTAGGTCATAGTAGAAAAAGCACACAGGACTGAGAACGAGACAAAAAAGAAGCCGAGCACTTGCGGACTAATGCAAGGCCAGGGGCGGATAACAAGTTCACTGATCCGAAGATCAGCTGTGCAGGTGCGCCACGGAGAGGCAACGTGTTACCCTACGGTGGATAGAGGTTGTATATTACGCTTATTCCACCGCTATGACAGGCTTAGCAATCGCTTTCACCAAAAATGTCATCGAACCCAAAAGAAGGTTAGGAGAGTCATAGTTACTCCCGCTGTTTACCCGCCCTTGGATGAATTTCTTCACTTTGATATTCAAAGCACTGGACAGAAATCGCATTGTGCCATCACCGGCCATCGCAATGCTTTGTTTTAATTAGACAGTCGGATTACCTTAGTACGTGCCAGTTCTGAGTCGGCCGTTAGTTTCCCGCCGAAACCGTCGGTCCGCACGAAAGCACGGTCCGCGGCGCAGCTGAGACATTCCATGGACGTATGGTAATCCTAGATATCAACCTCTATTAAATGAATTTTTAAATCCTAAATACTGTGAAGATTTCAATAATATTACTATCAAATTTAAGTTTATCTCCACTTAAAATTGTTTTTTATTTTATTTACTTAAATTTATTAGAATTTTTTAGTTTTCCAACAAAAAAGTTATCTCTTTTTGCTTTTTTCCATAAATTTACATTTTTCCTCAGAAAGTGAGACACTCATTCTGAGAATCACTGAATCAGTCGAATACAACTGAAATACGTAACTTTTTTAATAAGAAGAAAATGCAAATTTAGAAAGTTTCTTCTATTTTAGACCACTGACATTCATAATAAAATTATTTTAATTAGAAGCATATTGAAACTTTACGATGAAACTTGAATTTGCACTTCAAATTCAAGTTTCAGCATAATGTATAGATAGTTTCTCCGAAATCGTATTAACCTTCAGCCATGATCCGTTAAGAAATGAAATCTTAACATGATACATTCATATAATGTATGTTAAAAATAACATAATACTAATGACTGAAAACGGATGCGATCAGTATACGTTTATTCATAAAAAAAATTTAAAACTCAAGAACGGCATAATGCATTATGAATAACAAATATGAACAAGTTAAAAAGTAGGTATTGAAAATAATTTCAGTGCTTTTACTCTTTTCTTGAACTTTTTTGCCATCTTTCTCGGAGAACTTTGATTTTACGATACAGGGATTTGTAGGAATTTACAGCTGATTGTACTGCTACAATATAAGATTCAGCAGCACCCAAATTTTTTTGTTTTGAATTTTGGATGTCGCGTTTTTACCTTCTAAGTACTCATGAGGTATTATATCGTTTAAAGCAGAAAAGATTCTGCACAGTTCATACCGGCGGAGCCGCTGTCTTTCATTATGAACTATTCTTCCTTTGGATTTTTTGCTGTGTTGTTGTCTGCTGCCTGTCTTTTATTTTCTTTAATGGCAGACCGAGATGGTTTTGTCTCAACGCTATTCTTAGGCTTTATACCTTTAAACTGGCGCATCCTTTGAACCTTCTCCTGTGGGTCATTAGGAATATGTACCTTTTTATTTCGTCTTATTCCAGACCTAACATTCTCTACATCTGTTCATCTAAAAATGAAAAAAGTTTTTCAGTTTTCAGGAAGACGTAACATTCAACATATCGTCATTTCAAACAAGGCTCACTAAATGCACGAAAAATATTTTGAGTTACTGCAATCGATTAGATTTCTCAATTAATTAGTTAGTGCTATAATCCGGTTATATGAACATGAGTAAATCAATAATAGAGGTAAAACGATTCCACATCAATTATGTTTAAATCGACAATATTTCAAAAATATGGTTTTGAATTTGCTTGAATGACAACGATATGCTACCGTATAGTTACTCGAGACCATAAGGAACTCCGTCAAATAACCACACTTAAGATTGAATTGTCCATTGCAGCAGAGGATCCCAACATGTGGTACGTGTACCCCTGGGGCTATTCGAAGGACCAGTTGGGGTACTCGAAATCAAAGTTGGTAATGGTGGGAACAAATAAACATAAGAAACCATAAATATTACAGAATTTCTTTCTCCAAGTTAATTCTTGCTATTTAATAACTATACCACTTCATAAGCTGATTATTACAGAGTTAAATTCTTAGCCATCCTTATAAGTTAAGGAAAATTATTAAAAAAAAGTTATTTCATTTGTTTCGGAGTTAAACTAATACTATTGTAAAAATGCAATAAAATGTAGAATAAAATATAAAATCCAACAAATTTTATTAATTCGAGTCATTTGATTTTTAAGTTAACATAAGACTTTAACATCATTGATGAAAACTTCTTTGCGTAGACGGATGGTTCGTGATAGGGATATGAAAGTAAAGTGTACGCGAAAATAAAAAGTTTAATCAAGGAGTACACGAGGGAAAAAAGTTTGGTAACCCTTGCTTTCCAGTAATGCAACAGGAACACATTTGTAAGGATATAAACAGCACGACTTGTCCTAAGTCAAGAGTCGGCGAAAATCTGTATTTCTAAATAATCTTGAGAAAATGGCTCAATGAAATCTTAAGATATTCAATTGAAGAAAGAATACCGACAGAATATTACAAATCCCAGGATGAAAGGCCCCACTGTCGCAAGGGGAATTCGTCCCTTCCTCATCTCATCACCAAGTAATCGACATTAGAGTTGCATAGACAAGCGTGAGACTAATTGTATTTGAAAACAGAGTCAATCTGTCAGCTCTGCAAGGGGGTCCGAATTCTTAACGTCTAAATGCACAGTTTATGCATCTGATTTGAATAATTTTTCAGCTGTGAATGTCTAAAAAACTTGCACTGTTTATGCTGATCAATATTAAGGCATTCAATAAAATTTAACCGTAGTTATAAACAGCCGACATTTGTATTCAGGAAGGAGAAAGTAAAAATTTGCAAATCACTACAAATTAAAAAGATATGCTCTGAAATACTATTTTCTGAAATATTCTTTAGTTAATATTACACACACCAAGCAAAGTAGTCTTTAAAATTTTTCGTTTACTTATTTCTACTGTTGAATATTTCCTCGGAAATGTCCAAATTACTCATTTTCCTGTCGCTTTCAATATCATGCTCTTCTTTAATCACCCGAAAATAATTGTGTTCATCATGTTGTCGGTAAGATTTTGAAAAATCTTTTGACTGCGCTACAACTGGCTCTTTAGACCATTCTGAGTGGAAGAATGGCTCCTTCACAGATGACCCAGTTCTCGGATTCACAAAGGTGGAGTACACTGGGTTCCCGCTTGTTTCTTCATCCAAGGAGGATCTTTCTTCATGATCATATCGATTTCCATTAGGAAAATATGATGAACACTTGATGACTTTACCTTTAGGGTTCCATGATAACGAGGTGTTCCAATCTATTAAGGGTAATGCATGATAATCATCCTCTGAAGATTCAAATATGGGATGGTCAACATAACTTATTTTCTGTTAAGAAGAATGCAATTAGTATATCATGCAAATATTGACGAGAAAAAAATGTGTCGTGTGAATTTATCTTTAATTAGCTATATTAAATTTAATTATAGATTTCAGATGAGAGTTTATGCAACCAGGATGCAAATAAAAGATCTTATAAAAGGTATATTCAAATAAATTAAGCAATCCGCGTTGTGTTCAAAAATATTTTAGCAATAACCCCAGGAAGTAACATTACACAGACATAATTTTAAAAGGTAGCACCAGACCTGGATAATCTGCTAGGATACAGTATAGAATAAAACACAAACATGAACAAATGACAGAAACTGTGATAAAAATTAATTTCAGTTTATTTAAGAATTTTAGAAAATATGAAGGCATTTTGATGGGGATTTACATAACATGAACTGAGCACGTATAATGTAGCTTTGGATTCAAAACACTCACATGTCAGTTGGATAAAAAGTCAAAGACAGGTTAATTAGAGTTCATATCAGTACTATGTCTTCTATCCGACAAAAATAATAAAAGTCCTGAAACTCCCCCCCTCAGGGGCACATCTTCTATAGATGTGACGGGATTCACGACCCCGACGTACCCTAGAGTCTATTTCTCCTTCCGTTTATTTCGCCCCTTGAGTTTTTTGCTATTTTCTTCTTTCCCTCGAGGGTAGGCGAGGGGGCTCTCCATGAGAAGCAGTTGCCGCTCTGTTTATTTCTTGCTTCTCATGGACAGCAAATTACCCCCACGTGTTGGCCGTGCGTGGCGACCCATTAGACGGGAGGTACATTTCTGTCCCAGGTGTATCAATCGGCCGGTATCCCAGCTACTTGGCTGGTCTGCTCAAGGGGATCAAGCGAAGGGGTCACTCCTTGGGCTTGGCGTTAAGGGTGGTCACAGTCCCCGGGGGTGACTCTGAGCGTATAGGTTCCAAATAGCACCAAGGTAAGCGCCGAGGCTGGGAATACCCAGAGCCGGTGGCTGCCTTCCCTTGTTGGGCTCCGTGGTGGACGGTGCCGTCGGGCCTGAACCATATGCCATATCATATGGGTAAAAGAAAATCTGGTCCCTTCAGTGGGCAACAAAATGCATCAAAGTATTCGACAGTAACAAACTTTCCAACCTTTTTTTTGATAAAAAGAAACTCTACATCCAACGAAACCTTTCATACCGTATCACCATTCCTAGTTGAAAAAGCCATTACCGCAACTGTCGGTGATGTCAAATCCACTAAAAAGCTTCGATCTGGCGACTTACTGGTCGAAGTTCAATCTCGAAAACAATCTGAACAAATAGTTAATCTAAAAACATTTTCCAATATTCCAGTAACTGTCTCTCCACATGCATCTTTGAATTCCTCCAAGGGAGTTGTCACCTGCGGAGAATTGCTTAATGTTACAACAGAAGAAATCCTTAAAGAATTGCAAAGCCAAGGGTTGAGCCATGTACGGCGTATATCAATACGGAGGGATGGCCAGCTCCTAAATACAAAGCACCTAATACTCACATTTGACTCCGCAAAATTACCAGAACATATTAAAGCAGGATATATGCGCCTCTCTGTTAGGGCATATATACCCAATCCACTCCGCTGTTTCAACTGCCAACGTTTCGGACATTCGAAAACTTCTTGCCGCGGGACACTCACCTGCGCCCGTTGTGCAGAAGTCGGGCATGAAAGTACTGATTGCACCCGTGCAGAGAAGTGTGTTAACTGTAAGGGGGAACACACTTCGTTCTCTCGAAACTGTTCTGCCTGGAAACAAGACCCCTCAGGGGCACATCTTCTTAAGGTGTGACGGGCTTCACGACCCCGAGGTACCCTAGTGTCTGATCTCCTTTCTAGTTTTGCCTCCCTTTTGAGTTTTTGCTTTTTCCTTCCTTCCCTCGAGGGTAGGCGAGGGGGCTCTCCATGAGAAGCTGTTGCCGCTCTGTTTGCTTCCAGCTTCTCATGGACAGCAAATTACCCCCACGTG